GAAGCCCATCTCTCAGACACTGAGGCGGCAGGCGGACTCGCGCCAGGCACCGGAGCAGATCTCCGAGGAGCACCTGTGTGGTTTCAGATGGACGGGCTGGCCACTGAGAAGAACAGGGGCTCTTTTCATGTTTGATTCCTAACACTGGAGTTGGCCTTAAACAAAACAAAGAAACTTTTAAAGACTTAAACCAAGGCTTAGCCTTAAGCAGCTCAGTGGAACGATGACTTAGTGTTGACCATGGCTGACCACTGCATATTCTGCATGGTTTAAAAATCGGGCAGTGGCTAATCCCCCACCCCCTTAACTCAGCAAAAGGTAATTAAATCGTAATGCTTTCATGTCAACTGCTGGAAAGAACATTACACTCTTTCTTAGCCAAGGTGCATGAGAAATGTTATTTGGGAGACCTCACAGATGTTATTGGCTCATATTTGCATATTTTACATAAGAAAGGGATGGCTGATTTAGTTATGAGACTTCTTTCCGGAGCTTGAGGTTGTGTTTTTAAAGCCCACCTACCAAAGACAGCATTAAAGGAAAACAGGCTCTCTGAGGATAGTCGCTCATGAGTGCTCACGAGTTCCCCGGACTTGACCTGACCTTCAGGGTGATGATTTTACGTGTTGTCCTGACAAGATTATAGCAGGAGGGCTGAAAATGTGTGCTTATGTTCCAGTGGGAACCCTGCTCTCCCAGAGATTGCTCCCTACGTCTGTTGAGCAGGAGGAACTGTTCACACAGAAGGCCTGTGACAGCAGAGACAGGCTTAAGAGCTGATGGAACACAGAATGGAAACAGCCTCCCTTTAAGTCAGAGGGGAGGGGAAAAGGATGTTAAGACCTACCCTCTCCTGCAGCCTGCTTGGTTTGTGGAGGCTGGGGGACAACACACTTGTGGGGAAGCTGCTCCTGTGCTCTGACAGAACGCTCCTCTTTCCTTTGTCGCCTGAACGGCAGGAGCAGTTCTGAGTGGCAGTGATTCCCTCCTCATGCATTTGGCTTAAAGACAGCCTGTTGTAAGGACTGAGGACCGAGCAGCACACACCCCACAGCCCAGACCATGTGTCGGAGTTCTCAATATGTGTACCATCAGCCTTTCCCCATTTTAGCCTAGTTTTCCTCAAGTTCATTAGCAACTTTGTTCTAACTTTTCCTTGACTGATTCTGATGACTTTGTATTAAGAACTTTGGTTATCCAAATTCAAAGAAAGGAACAGTTTTGCACAGAACAGTCAAAAAGACGGGCAGATCTCTGTGGAGACAGGTTCCCACGTGTAGTTTGTGGCCTGTTGGTCTGTGGGTGGGGAGACCAGGCTCTGGGGCACCGTTAGCTGTATGGTAAGTGCTGCTGTGTGGTCTGGTGCTCTCCAGCCCTTCCCAGCCATACCTTTCACCCCAGGGAGCATCCCACTATTGACCTGGTGTTGGGAGCGCCCTTGGCTCTGAGCATATAGCATGCAGCGTGGAGACGTGGGGTGGGAGATAAAGCCTAATATGGCATTATTTTTATAGGTTTTCTCTATCTGCCATATCTGCTGATGACACTTCTAGGTGCAATAGCAAGTTGCCAAGCCAGTGGCTGTCCTCATACCCTCCATCCCAGCTCTGTTCCGTGTGTCGTTATTCCTGGAATTGCCTTTTTTCCCTTATGTTCTTAACTGAATTCTCCAGGGAGGTTGCAAACATCATGGATAACACCTGCCTCAGCCTTTAAATGCTGACTTGCCTCACCTCTCGGAGGAGGCACTCTGTCTTCACTGAGGTCTCAGCACCTTCCAGACGCAGCCATTCCCTGACATCACGATGCTGAATGTAACCCAGACTGAGCCAGGCCTGGGAACCAGGCTGCCGGGCCCTGTCACACCGTTCCTCGCAGATGGACTTCGTCTTGTCCCATGAAATGGGCTTTCTGTTCTTGAAAGATGTATATATTTTCTTACTGTACATACAGATGTTCCTTAAGTCATGACAGAAAGCCATGCAACAAGGGGCGGTGTGCACGTCCTTCAGAATGCATTTTTGGAACTTGTGTAGTTAAAACCCAGCCCTTAATATTTTTGTCAAACAGTTTAATGTAAATCTTTTTGGATAGCACCACTTATGCATTAGGTTTTTTAAACAGGATTCCATGCCAATCTGGAATACTTAGCAAATCTTTAATGCAGAAGAGGTTTTCCTGACCTGTTCAGGGACCACATGAGGTCTGGCCGGTTTGACGCTTCCGCTTCAGAGGCCAAGAGGTCCTAAGTCCTTGTCCAGCGTCACTTGGCCCCCTTCCGCAGAGGGTTGTGCTTCTCTATTTGACGCTGTCGTCTAGGAAAACTGGAATCAGAGGTGGAAATGCTGCACCCCTTGGAAGTCTGCACTTCCCACTTCCCGTGCCGTTGACTTCAGAATCTAGGACTTCAGGTTTGGGACCTTTGTGCAACTGGCACTTTAGAGTTGAAAGCTGCGTCCCCACCATCCCTGAAATCTCATCTAGAAACAATCTTCACTTGAAAAGGTACTTTTTAACTGCTCAGTTTTTGACTATTTTAAATAGTTTGCTGATAGAAAACTCCTGATAACACTTGCTACATATCATGTTTTAATTGCTTGTACAGTTAACCTTTAATTTTATTTAGTAAAGTGTATCAAATTAGGACTTTTTGAATTGTAAATATGTGGTTTTATTAAATAAAGGTCATGTAAAATTGTTACTTATGTCCCCTGTAGTTTGGTTGAAAATTGAAGTTCTCACCTTGAGGTATGGCAAAAATTTGACTTTGAGCATCATGCTGTTTGAATATTTTAAAATCCACTTATTAGGCTCAGTTAAATCAAAAAGATTGTACAGTTGTGGTGATTTGGTCAAGGGATTCGAGACTTTAGTGCGCCCCTTCCAAGCTGAAGGGGCGTCCCACAGCTGCTGCTCCCCTCGCTTGGCCTCGGCCCCGGGCCTGCTGTCTGCCACACTGCCCTGCTCGCGCTCCCTGAGCCTGCTGTCTGCCACACTGCCCTGCTCGCGCTCCCTGAGCCTGCGCCCCATCCCAGCAGGTGGTCAGCGCTTACTCTGCGGGCCACTCGGCTCTTCACACTGACCTGAGAAACCTGCTCAGGGCCTTGGAGAACAGGTGCTGAAGTCCAGCTCCCCCACCAGACAGTGGGCTGACTGTGGGCTCTTCCCTGGGCCACTGTGTGCCTCCATCCCCACCTGTGGAGTGGAGATCAGTAATGCTGTCCCATGAAGGTGGCAGTGAGCGTGAAGTGGTCCACAGGGTCACTCAGAGCCAGGCCAAGCAAGTGCTCACGTGTGTCAGTGGTACTCACCAGGCCAGCTGCCCCCAAGGCTCCAGGAGGACCACCGAACTAAGTCCCAGCTAGAAGGTGCAGAGCCCCTAGGCTGCCCTTTTGTCCCGATCCCCCAGGAGATTCCGTACTCATTCTCTATGACTGTCCCCTGAGCAGACGCTCCTGCCCTCCTGTGTCACCCCGGGCTTCCCAGGGCCTGTGCTGGAGCACTCCACCCTGCGCCATTGCTGGCCTCCCTGCCTGTCTTCCCCCAGAGATAGCAGCTCGGGGGGCATTGCCTCAGATGTCGTCGGCCCTGCACACCGCTCAGAAACGGTGCCCGGCGTTCCTCACTCTTTTCTCACGAGTGAACTGCTTCGTCTTTTGGGGCCACTGTTATTTTTTCTCCATTCTTCACAGACTGTGAGGTGAGCTATGAGACGAGGGTGGTCGTGGTTGACGGCAAGCACGTTTGCTGGGGGCTCGCTCCGTGCTCCACCCGTGCCATCCTGGGTGCTAAGTGCCCTGTGCATGACCTCGTTTGTCTCCGCAGCAGCTCTGTTTCACAGCTGTGCCTCGGAGAAGTGATCTGCTGGGACTCCCTCAGCCAGTCAGTGGCATAGCTAGGGTTCAGGCTCCACCTGGTGCCTCCCGCTCAGAAACACCTCTCCTCAGAGAATACGTTTGCTTTGGGGCCTTGGGTAGCCTTCCTCCTCTGGCTCTGACCCCAACTCCAAGTGCAGGGTCTGGGGTGGGCCCTGGATTCCCTTACTGGCCTGAGTGCCTCCTGTGTGCAAGGCACCAGGCCCGCTGGGAACAGGCAGAGCCACGCCTGTCGGCTGGCTCCTGGGGGAGAACCTTGGGGAAACTCACGAGCAGTGGGGGTAGAAGTTGTGGAACATTTTCCCAAGAGAAACAGGGGCTGACAGTTCGAAAACCACCATCCGCAGTGTGGAGCCTGCCACGAAGGCAAGAGAGGGAGTGAGGTGCTGCACCGGCATGGCCGAGGAGGCAAGGCGAAACCACGTTGGCCCTTGAGATGAGCTGTTGGCCACCAGGTGCACCAGCAGAGGGAAACCCTTAGAGCCAGGGCAAGTCCTTGGGCAGTCTACCTGACGCTCCAGAGCACCTGCCCACCCACCCGGAACTTGGCCATGGCTTAAAGGGCCTGGGTATTCCTGAGAGGCCCGGAGTGCTGCTGTCTGGTTCACATGTTGCTCCGGGATTCTCCAAGAGCGAAACCGCCCTTGCCGCCAGCTTGCTCTAGAAGGAGCTGCTCCATTGGGCATGGCCATGCCAAGGCCCTCTCTGTCTTCAGGACTAGGTGCCAAGGCCCCTTTTCCCAGCATGCCGGAGCCCCGTGGGGTTCCCTGTGGAGGGAGGAACAGTGGCCCTCTCCTCATACAACACGACAAAACAAGATACCCCTTGGCTTGACCCCCGAGTCTCTCAGTTTTTCTTAAACGTTGTTGCTTCAGCTTCCTGTCCCTTCTCTGGAGCTCCAGGTAGAAACTACTGTAACCAGAAATAAACCCAAGTTTATGGTGTAGTTTAGCCAGAAGTAAGAACAGGAAAATTTAAATTCCTTTGTTCTCCTTTTTCGTAACCAAAGGTTAAAAAGGGTACCCAGCACCTATCCACTGGCTCGTGAGGATTAAAATCATCTAAGATGCCGAAGTAATTGTATCATTAAAGGAAACAAATTGCCATAGATAGCTAGAATCATGCTCTAGACATGTAAACTTTTAGTATCTTGCACTCTTGGGGAACTTAGGAATTTAAAAAATTGGGATTTTTTTCCCCTAATTAAATGCATGTTCATTATATAAAATTTGGAAATACAGAAAAGCACAAAGAAAATAAAAATCACAATTTCGCCACCCAGAGAGAACTTTTCTCATATTCTGACATTTTCTTCTATAAAATAAACGTGTCCCCATTTTACAAGTAAGTACATTGAAGCTTAGAAAGTTGAAGTGTTTATCCCAGGTCACAATCAGAAGAGAACTGAATCCAGGTTCGCCTGATTCCAGAGTCTTTGTTCTCGAGCACTACACTGTGTCTTCTCCTTCTAGATACCTGTTTGTATTCATCCTTGGCATCCTTGGAGAGAAATATTAGAAAACTCCATCAATTAAAAAATTGGGGAGGGTGTACATTTATTCACTAAAATATGCACATATTTAATCATTGGTTATTTAAATAAAAACTAAACCTTTTGAAAGGAGTATTACATGGGAGGTAGGAGACAGGAATTCAGCAGTGTTCTTCCTGCCAGTCCTGGCTCTGCCAGCTTCCCTGATGTGTTGCGCTACATGACGGAAGTCATCTCCTGGAGTCCTGTACATTCATACCATTTGCATGATGTCTCACTTTGACATTGACTATTGGAAAGTTTAGAACATAAAAAGCACTAAATTAGGGGGCTGGCCCCATGGCTGAGCACTTGGGTTTGCGAGTTCTGCTTCAGCGGCCCAGGGTTTCACCGGTTCAGATCCCATGTGCAGACATGGCATCGCTCATCGGGCCATGCTGAGGCGGCGTCCCACAGAGCAGAGGCAGAAGGACCTACAACTAGAATATACAACTATGTGCTGGGGGGCTTTGGGGAAAAGAGGAAAAAAAAGAAGAAAAAAAGAAGATTGGCAACAGTTGTTAGCTCAGGTGCCAATCTTTAAAAAAAACTAAATTGGAGTGCATTAATTCTGATATTATTTTTTGGACAGGCACCCCCCACCAATGGCAAAAATCTAAATTATGGCTGCAGATGAAGTTATGAAAAAAGAAACCGTATTTTTATTTCCACGTATATAATTTAAAAATCTCAAAAGAAGGAAGTCACCAAAAGTGATTTTCCTTTACCAATGAGAAAATGTTTCTTTTTCAGATGCCTCAGGCTCCATCCAGGTAGCGCTGGATTCAGTCCTGCCAACGGTGCCAAAAACACAAAATTTTACCTCCTGTAACGTCGAAGGGGACACTTCGATTCAGACTAATTTTTAAAAAGTCTAGTTTCATGTAACATCTCACTCAGATTTTATTGTGCCTACATTTTTCAGGTCCTGTACTTTTTGACGAGATGAAAAAATCTTTAGCCTTTGATTTTAGCGTTCATAAAATAATGTGTTTTAGAGGCTTCTCGCAGTCTCCAGCGTTACTGGAGAAATCCCCCTTGAGGGAGGGAGGATGCCTGGAGGCAGTCCCTGCTGGGAGGGACAGCTGGGCTCTCTCTGCAGCGCTGTCCTGGCGACTACAAGCCGGCCTCCCTGTCATTGCCCTCATTGGTCCCACTTAGAGATCCTCTTTCTACCTGAAACTATTTTTTAATCCAACAAAGGACTTCTCAGTGCCTGAGATATAATAGGCATTCAAGTAACACTTATTTTCAGAAAATGAGAATGGGATTATATTTATGTATTAATCCAACAAATTTATTGAGCACCAATTACATGCTTGGCACCATGCTGGCTGAGAGGGATGATAAGCCAAGGGTCCCTGCCTCCCCGGGCCTTTGTCTCACTGGGCACAGAGAACCAAGCAGACAGTCACAAAGCACTGGGTCCGAGGCAGGGACGGGGCACATGCAGGCTGCTGTGGGGCACAAAGAGCACGTCCACAAACCTGGGCAGAAGGTGCGTTAGAGTTTGTGGCATTCTTCCTCAGAAGCAATCTCTCTTAAGAAACAATCTGAATGTGCTGCTATTTCATGATTAAAGAGCTCTTCTGTAATCTGATTAGAAGCCTGTTAGGAAGTAACCAACAGCAGATTATCTATCTTCTAGTTAGTTGTAACATCTCCAGCATGAGGTAATATAATTTGAGAGAACATGGGTGACTTTGCAGCTGAAAGTAATGCCAGCCTCATCAATCTCTGAATCTTTGTGCTCAGAGACCTGCTTGCCACACAGGTCAAGGCCGACGAGGGATTTTGGTTCTATCTGGGTAACTGCCAACAGGTCAAAATCAGCTGAACATACGAGTTCGTTCTCCCTCTAGTGAACGGAAGGGCTGGCAGCGCTCCTAATGGAGGCTGCTCGCTTGGTGAAGGCACCCAGCGTACTGCCCGTTTCCCTTTGAAGCCTCCCCACCGCAGAAGAACCCAGTGGGCCTGTGCTGCTTTTAGTTTGAGGCACAAAGAAAACAAAGCTGTATTTGCCAGTGATTTACTACTTCACTTTGGCCTGACAAACAGGGTGGAGGGAAGGAGAATTGTAGAGGATAAGGAGAGTGGAAGCTGGAAGTCACATTTTTACTCCCCTCGTTGTTAACGGTTGTATGGTTTGATAAGTACAGTATTATAACAAAGCGTATTCAAGCTGTGGAAGTTAGAAAAGGAATTTTAATCAACCTTTGTTGGCTTCAAAGGGAACACACTTTAGAAAACAAAATCATGTCATCAAAAGATATTTTGACATTCTTATGACCAACCAAGTCATCTGCCTAGAGTGGGGTTTCCACCACTCTTTAAAGGTATTTAGCACCCCAAAACAGATCGCTCTCCATATGATCCACTTAAGCTTAGGGGTGGGAGAATACTTTTAATCCTAAATCTGCACATCTCAAAATTCAACCTAAGATTAATAAAACCAAGCTCCTAGCTCCAAAAACATCAAAGGAAACTGAAAACGTTCATCACTGATTAAGGAGAGAGACCTACCAAGTATTTCTTTCTTACATTAACACAAGGAGTAACAGACGTTTTAATATTTGATAGAGTAAAATCATATGCATAACAAGGGTCCTATTGCTAAGATCCAAAAATATCTCGCTGAAAACAAAAGGCTGTGGACAGTCCGCAGTCATCACTCCATAGATTGTGCACCTGGCAAAACACACAATACAATCATCGTTTTGTTTTCACTGGAAAACAAAATTTCATTTTTTGTCAAGATGAATGCTTTTCTTTAGTGGATCCGAGAAAACGTCTCATTAGAATTGACGATTGTCCTTGAGCCAGAAACAAACATGTAACGGTTAAGCAGACTGAGCCTCCTTTCACTGAGAAAGGAAAGATGAAGGAACTTCAGCTCCTGTTCCTATTTATCATTTCTCCTGTTTCCTGGATATTTTTTATTATCCCAGAAGCTAGTGCTACTTACATACAAAACAATTTTAATCTAAAAGGGAATCAGTGAGCCTTGAATTGAGACAGTGACTCAGGACTACACAGTTTAATAAATTCGAAGGGGGTTTAATAATTAGCTTAATGCACAGGAATTTTTTTGGTACCCTGCCCATCTGTTAAACTCTCCTCCATATGGAAAAGGAACAGTTCTCCTCAGTATCAGGTTACTGAAATTATGGAATTGCTCAGATATAAAAAGGCTTTTGACAGCGTTTTATGAGTCCGGTACATTAAATCACCCTCCGTTGGTTTCTCTAGACGTATTTTCCTTCGCCCCACATAACACTGACTGCTGACCCAATTTTGTGCTCCGCACTAATTTGGAAACTGAAAAATTATGAGATAAATACAAAATGTAGTTCCATCCTAAATATCATTGGCCTTTTACGGAATAGTAACAAATGGAGAATAAAAGTTAATGGATAGAGTTCGCCAAGATTGAAGACATTCTGCTCACTCTTCTCATTCGCATCAAGAGGGGAGAAAGGCTTTGGCCTCCCTGATCTTCTGCTTCACGCCTCTGCAGGACAGAGTGAGGCCAGCATGATGGCGCTTCAGGGACTCTAAGCGCTGGTTGAGCAGTTCTGTCTTATCCACCTTCTCTTCCATGTCCCGAAGGAGTGACTCCTTGCCCAGAAGCCCACACTTCTGATTCAGCTTGATGTTGTCAGTCCGCAGGTTGTCCCGGACTTGCTTAATCTTGGTCAAGAGGTCCCTCCTCAGGGCCACCCGAGCTTCAATTTCCAAAAGTTTTGACTTTTTGTATGAATTTTCTATATCCACAAAGTGTAACTTTTCCTTCACATGGGTTATGATTTGCACATTGTTGGTCACCTTGTTGCGCAATTTTAAAAGCTCCTCATTTCGCTCCTCCACTTTCTCATTGAAAGTCTGGTTCTCAATCTTAAGCTGTTCAAAATCGATGAGGAGAAGCCCCTCGGTCATGTCCTCCTGGGCCCTCATCCTGGTTTCAAAATGCACCAAGCTCTGCTTCAGTTGCACGTTTTCCAGCCTCACAGCACTCATCTCCTTCTCCTTCTTAGCCTCCAACGCCTGGATCTGCTCCACTTCTCGCAGAGCGGCCTGGCGACCACCCTTCATCCAACAGCTGCCCATGGCCTGCATCACCACCTGCTTCTTGAGCGCCTGGAAGCGCTGCCATTCCTTCTCCACCGTGGCGAGCTTCTCCTTGCATTGCTGCTTCAGCTGCTCCAGCTCCTGGTGATACCAGTCCAGGTCGTCTGCCTGTTGCTTCTTCAGCTCCTCCAGCAAGGCCAGATAGCGTATGTATGCTTGCTCTTTCTCGGGGGCTTCAGGCTCCATGCCCTTGTCGGGCAGCTCGGCTGCATCCAGGCCCTTCTTCTTGCGCAGCGCCTCGAAGATCTTGTGCTGCAGGTAGACGTTGTAGCGCTGGTAGCGGCTCCGCTCCACCGTCAGGGAGCGGTACTGCTCCAGGAGCTCCGAGCGCAGCTGCTGCTCCTGCAGCTTCTGCACCTCCTCAGTCCACTCATAATCCTCATCCCCGAGCTCCTCCAGACCTCTCAGCTCTTCCTCGCTTTTCCCCCGGCGTCCTTCCGCGTCCTCGCCCTGGCTCTCCTCGCCCTCTTCCTCCCGCTCCCGTTCCTCCGGCTCAGCGTCCCGGGCTGGCGCAGCCTCTGCCTGTCTTCCCGTGGTGGACGGCGCCAGAGAGACCTGCGACGGGGCTTCCTTCCTCCTCCTCCGTTCCGGCGCCCTCTCCTCCTTCTCCTCGTCCTCGTCCTCCTCGTCCTCCTCCTCCTCCTTCTCCTCCTCCTTTTCCTCTACCTCCTCGGGTTCCTCGGGCCCGCCTTTGGACTCCGGCTTGTCTGGCTCCTCAGGCCCGGCCTCGGCTGGCTCCCCTGGCTCCGCCTCGGCCGACCCCTCCGGCTCTCGGGGCCCCTCCTCGCCCGCAGCGGCGGCGGCCGCCAGCCCTTCCCGGGTCTCGGCGGGCTCGGCGGGCTCGGCCGGCTCATCGGGCTCGGCCGCGGCGGCTCCTCTCTCCGAAGGCTCCACATCCTCCGGCTGCGGCTCCGACTCCGCGGCGTCCGCGGGTTCGGGCGGGGACTGGGGGCCAGAGCTGGCCTTGATGCCGGACAGTCTCGAGGCCAGGCTCGTCACATCTTCGAAGTCCCCCTCCGGGTCCACACTGTGCTCGGAGTGGCCGTCCATCTCCCTCCGGTTCGGCCAGCACCAGGGACTGCGGCCTACGGCTGTTAGGTTTCCAGGGGCAACCAGGGGCGCGCGCGGTGGGCCAGGCGATTGGCCAGGCGTCAGCCCGACGCCCTGCCCCTTCTCCCCGCCTCCCGGTAAGAGCAGGCCAATGGGCGGCCGCGAGTGGACGACGGGCGGCGTTGATTGGAGGAGGGCGAAGGCTTGCGCCGCGAGGGGCGTGGCGCGCCCGCCGCGCCCGCTTTTCGCCCGCTTCCAAGCGCCGGGTCTGGGGCGGGGCCTCCAGGAGGCGCTGGCCCCACGGGCGGCCGGCGCGAGGGGCGCGCAGGCGCAGAGCGGCGGGCCGGGCCCCCGCGCGGGGGCGCGCGCGGGGCGCCTGCGCGATGCGGCGGGGCGACGGCGGCGGCGGCGGCGGCCGGGCCGGGCCCGAGGGCGCCTGCGTGCTGAGGCGGGACGCGGCCCGCCTGGCCGGCTCCGGCGGCGCCTGGCGGGGCGGCGCGGTGGCGGCGGGCGCGGCGGCGGGCGCGGCGGCGGCCGGCGGTTGCCCGAGCGCGGCGGCGGGCCGGGGCGGCGGCGCGCTGTCGGCGGCGGCGGCGGCGGGCCCGGGCGGCGGGCGGGGGAAGATGGCGGAGCTCGGTAAGAAGTACTGCGTGTACTGCCTGGCCGAGGTGAGCCCGCTGCGCTTCCGCTGCACCGAGTGCCAGGACATCGAACTGTGCCCCGAGTGCTTCTCGGCCGGCGCCGAGATCGGCCACCACCGCCGCTACCACGGCTACCAGCTGGTGGACGGCGGGCGCTTCACGCTGTGGGGGCCCGAGGCCGAGGGCGGCTGGACCAGCCGCGAGGAGCAGCTGCTGCTGGACGCCATCGAGCAGTTCGGCTTCGGAAACTGGGTGAGCGGCCACGGCGGCTCTGCGCGGCCGGCGGGAGGGCCGCCCGGGGCTGCGTGCCCTCGTCGGTGAGGGCGAACGCGACCTGCACCTGCTCGCTCGGGCGCTGCACGGAGGGCCGGTGGGGCGGGGACTGTGAGCACTCCCGGTGTGTGCACGGGAAACCGAGCGCAGAGAGGGTAAGCTGCATGCCAAGGTCACACAGCCAGGAAGTAGCAAAGCGGGGGGTTGCACTGTGGCCTTCTGACAGCACAGCCGTTTTCCTAACCTTTAGGAGTACCTGAAATAGGTGGTTGCTGAGTGCAGACTTTGGCAAGACCGGCCTTACCTGAGCAGGAGTTGGCAGACATAGGCGGGGCAGCAGACTTGACCCGGAGCACTGAGGAAGCAGGTGGTTTTGCGTGGAGAGCGCGATGGTGAAGGCCAGACCAGCTTCACACGCCCTGCGCTTCTCTCGCCGTCTCTGATGCTTCCTCTGTGCTCAGGGCCGCTTGCTCGGTGGTGTTGCCTGTGCGTGTGCCCTGTGTCCCCTGCCAGGGACTTGTTTATCCTGGGGTCCCCACAACAGCCAGGACGTTGTCAGAGGCCTACTCAGTACCAAACAGGGGAGCGTGAACCAGGATGCATTGTCCTGGGCTTGCTCGCTCTCTCCATCAGAAGGTTTCTGCAGAGACGTTGATCTGAGAAGAGAAGGTGGGAGCTGGCCTGGTTACTTGGCCAGAGCGGGACAGTGTGCAGGGCTCCTGGAGGGAGGAGCGCGCTCGCCCTCTCCACCCTGAAGGGGAAGCTTTCATCTGCGTTAGAGGGGAAAACCTGGCCGTGTTCTGGTCCTTAACCACCAGAGATATGTGGCACCTCCAGGCATTATGAAAAGTAGGGAGAAGAGACAGGACCCCAGCTCCCTGATCTTTCCAGACCCTTCCACATGATGGTCCCCTACTCCCTGGACCTGTCTGTCATCGTGCTGCCACTTCTCTGGCAGCACTGCCTTCCCGCTGGGCTTACTGGTGGAAGACATTCCACACCTCTCCCCTCGGTCCCAAAGCGGTCCTGCTTTTATTTCCTTTTGCTTTCCTTTCCATAAAGTGAACCAGTCTTCAGGAATCAGGACCCATTCCGCAGCCCTGAGATCTTGATTCTCCCAGCTCCTTAGGGACCCAGCTCCCCTCGTGCCAGCATCGTGATCACCACCCTCCAGAAACCTCCATCTCACTTTGTCCCACAATGCTGTTCACTGGTGTGTACTGAGCATCTGCTCTGATGGTGAAGGACTCTGAAGGAAAGAAAGGCTTCGCCCTTGTCTTTAAGGGGCTTAAAGTGTTGTAATCATTTGGTCCTGAGCCTGCAGCTCTTCCCTGAGCTCCAGCCGTCAGTGTCAAACCTCTGCCTGACGTCCTCACTGCTCACCTTACGGACGTCTCCACTCTAGTGACCCAGATCTCTCGTCGCCTCACGCAGTCACTGAGGCCGCAAACTAAGAGCTATCCTCAGGTTCTTCCAGGTTCAGTCAGCAGCAGCCCTATCTTCCAGATCTTTCCAGATCTTAACTGCTTCTCACAACCTTAGTCCAGGCTGATGTTTATCTCTTGCTTTGACCACTTCTGGAGCCTCCCACCTGGTCTTGCTGCCTCATTCCTGTGCCCTGCAGCCCATTCCGTCCACCATAGTCACAGTGGTCTTTGAAGACACCTCACGTCGCATTGGCCTTCAGTGGCTCCCAGGTCTACTTAGATTAAAACTTCCCGGCCTGCAGGGCCTTACCGTGTTGACTGACTGAGGGGATCGCAGCTGCTACGCCCTTGATCATTTTTCATCTCTTCTGCCTAGAGTGCTCTTCCCCCCAGATTGTGGCTCGTGCCTGGCCTTTGTATGTACATAGCAGTACCCCAGAGACATTTCCCTTCCCCGCTGCACTCTGACAGCACTTATCTCTATGGGAGCAGCTAAAGGTAGCCGACGTGGACCGCGGGCGTTGCCGCGCGCCAGGCACTGTGTGACCTCCTCGTGCATTTCTCCTGAAATCCTCCCAGCAGCCCTGTGCAGCAGGTTTTGAACTGAATAGTTTGACTTCAGAGTTTGTGCTCCTAGCTGCACTGTCTACACTGCCTTCCGGGCAGCACTGTGAAAAATACACCAGAAACAAGCCCGGGGACTAAAATGTGTAGTGCGTTGGAAGAAGCATGGGGCTGGAAGGGGGCATTCTCTAAAGCCGGACTTTTCAAACTTTGCTGTGCATGTGACTCCCCTGGGGAGCTTGTTACATGCAGGTTCCAACTCAAAGCAGTCAGCACGCAGCTCTGTGAGGATGGGGCTGGAGGAGGGGCCTGGGCCTGGGCCTGGGCGCGGGGGACCTTCTTGCTGAGCGGTGGTGGGTCCGGGAGGCTAAAAGCCTGCGCGCTGAGCACACCTGGGGCACTGCCGGGCGCGCTGTGAGCGGGCGGCTCTCTGGCTCTCGAGCCGTGCTCTCGGGCTGGCTGCTCTGCCCCCTGGACTGCCGGTGCTTCATCGGAGGCTCTTCTGCAGCTCTGAGACGTGCAGACTCCAAATGCGTGCACACAGCGCTGTCCCACGTCTGCCATATGTAGCATGTGCCAGTTCTGGACGAGGCTCTTCCCATACGTATCTCCTGTGCTCGCCACAGCAGCCCCGTGGGGCAGGCTCTTAGTTTACAGCTGAAGAACAGCGACTCAGAACTTAAAGTACTTGTCCAGGCTGCCCCGGCCTTTCACGTCGTAAAGGCAGGGTTTAGATGCAGGCCTGTCTGGTTCCCAAGTCTGGGCCTTCACCTCTCGGTGTAAGAGCATTAACTGTTGAGGCTCAGAGCCTGGGAGCTTATTGCTGCAGCTGAAGGTGTGGCTGGGCTGCAAGGGCTTTTGGGAGGAGCTGAGTCCTGACTGGTTCAGCGGGCGGTTAGAGTGTGGGAGGGGAACGGGGAAGGTGCCGGTGCGCACAGGAGCCGGGTTTCCCAGGTTGGGTATGGAGCTTAGAGAAGGGCGGTCTGCGCATCGGGGACAGTGCTGTGGAGGAAGCTGAGACTGTTCATTCTAGTTTCTCAGATGGCACGTGCAACCTGTGACCTCAGGGTTGTACTGCTTTGTGTGGGGTTTGTGGGGAGGGAGCAATTTCAGGAGCCCTGGGGGAGAGGCTGTTGCTGAAGTGTGGGGCTGTTTGCTCACATTTTGTCCCAGGGCTCAGGCATGGGGACCGATGGGGTTGGACGTGTCTGAGGGATACTAACAGTGAGGCCAGGAGGGTTTGGGGACAAGCAGTGTGGCCAGGCTGCATGCCCATGTGTTTGATGATGAGCAGCAGAGAGGGTGAGTGGGAGATGCCTGTGATATGAGGCCAGGGTAGGGCTGGCAGGCGGACAGTGACCCACAGAGTCATATCACCAGGGCTATTGAGAGCCTCGAAGCAGCTCGTTACGTGGTGGGCGCTGTGCAGATCAGTTGGAAGATGCAGATCCTGCTGGAGCGCAGACGCAGACGTAGACACACAGGTGAAATGCTTTATGACCATTAGAGACTGTGGTACGTGAGCCCTGCGTCTGTTGGTTGGTTTTGCCGGAGGAGATGAACAGTTTGAGGAAGACCCGAGTCCTTGGCAGATGGTGGTGAGGATGACTTCTGGGGGAAGGAAGCTTCCAACTAGCTTTGGAGGTAGATGTCGAAGAAAGTGCGTGCGGTTCCCTGTGGACTGTGCGGGGCCTTGTGTGTGGGTACGCACATTCAGGCGAGTTACTGGAGGCAGGTGGCATGCCGTGAATACAGAGGTCTGCTTCTGTAGCTGATAGACATCCAGAAGGCTGGGTAATACCAGATAAGTAGTACGCATTGCATTGTGCATTCATTCACTGATGCATTCATTCACCCAGACCCGTTATATGTCAGCCCCTGTGTCAGAGGCACAGAATGTCCCTCAGCATGTGGTTTGTGGTGAAAACATGGATAGAGTGAGACAGCTGCCTAACCGTGTATGGTGTTATATAGTCACGTGGAGTGCAGGACCTCCTGGTGTGGGACGGTCACGTGGAGCGCAGGGCCTCCTGGCGCAGGACGGTCATGTGGAGCTCGGGGCCTCCTGGTATGGGACGGTCACGTGGAACGCCAGGCCTTCTTGGGTGGAAAGGAGAGGAGAAGGCTTTCCGGGTGGAAGGATAGTGTGGCTAAGGGAGGTTTTTCACGTTGGAGGAGTCTGGTGTGTTCAGGAGCCGGGCAAAAGCCAGCTTGCCCGAAGTGGAGCATTTGGGTTGGGGGCAGGTGGGTAAGGTTGTGTGGGGTCACATTTTGAAGAGCCTTGAGCACCAGGCCATGAGGACATAATGGGATTTTGAACTGGTTCTGACTCAGTGGGCGCTGAGTGCGCGCCGACTGCCGGCCCGAAGCTGGGTGGATGCTTTGACATCCTCTCTCAGTCCTCCGCGCGCCCCCAGCCCCTCGTTTACCAGTGAGGAGGCGGCTTTGGGTGATGAAGGAACATGGCCGAGCTGGAATTGGGCCCAGGTCTTCTGACTCCATGCCTAGGACCATCTACTTCATTGCTTTCCTGACTGCGTGGCAGAATCAGCCGAGGGTTCCCAGGGACGCCACCCTGGGCCCTCTGAGTCGGCCTCTCTCTGGGTGAGTCCTGGAAGTAGTATTTACAGGAAGATTCCCGGGGAGTTGTGATGCAGTGGGTCCCCGGAGCCGCGTTTGGGGGCCGTGAGAACTGTCCCCTTCTCACCAAGGCAGGAGTCTCCTCTGTGTGGTGGTGGGTCTTCCCGGGAATAGTCGGTCCCATGAGCGTCCTGACAGCGTGGTGTTTTGGAATTGCCATTAAGGATGGGGTGGAGGAGGGAAAGCCTGGATAGAGCAGCCAGCTAGCATGAATGGGGTTCTGCAGAGCAGGGGTTCTCAAACTTCGGATCAGAGCACCCACGGGTCTGTTCAAACACAGGTCATGCCACCCACCACCCCGGGTTCTGAGTCAGTAGGTCTGGAGTGAGGCCTGAGAATGTGCATTTC